AGAGAGCTCCCAGTCGATTTAGATCCGGTGGGATTCAAATTAGGGTTCATCAACGCCGGTTTAACAACGGCTCCGGAAGACGATTTCTTCAGAACCGGACCGATTAAGAAATCGAGCCTGTCGAAGAAGCACCAGCTCGACGAGGGTTTGGTCTTCTCAGTTTTGTACTTCTTCTTGAGCGTGTCGATCCGGTTCTTACACTGAACGTCGGTCTTTGGCCGACCATTCCCGTGGTTAGAATTGACGGTGTCGGCGACTTCTTTCCAATCGTTTTGCCGGAGATTTCCACGGTTGAGATTGACGTATCGGTCTCCCCAGGCTTCGATTAACGTCGCCGTCGCGTCCTCGCTCCACCAGTCTTCTCTTCCCGCCGGTAGACGGTGAGACCCGCTCTGCGACTGGGATTTCGACTGAGTCTCCGGCGTCGTCTCCATTTCGGAGGAGGATGGAGAAGGCTAACGTGCGCGGAGGATAGAAGAGGCGTAGGATAAGAATATGTGGAGGAGGATCGGATTTTTTTTGTTGGTAAAGTTAAAGAGAAGAAACGGTTAAAGTGGGGATTTTGATTACCGGCGGTGACGTCAGCAACGGCGATTATCTTTTGAGTTTCTTCTTCCTCTCTTATTTTCCGCTAAACCGAATTAATTACTTAATCCAATTGAACCGGTTCTTGAACTCGGTTTGGGTATAAACTGTCCTACTGTCGTCGTGAAGCTTTGTTTAATTCGTTTCTAAAAATGCTAGTGATAAAATTACACTGAACTCTGATAAGACTGATGATCGATAATTACAGTTGTATTAGGCTTGGATTGTTTGAATCATTTTATAAAGACCGTATTTTTCTTTGTATACTGGAAAATAATACAAAAGCTCTACGATTTTTTTTTTTTTGTGTTTTTGAAATGAATAGAGAAAACTTATATGTTGAATTATGCGGTAGGCTGTAACAAAATGTGGAGTAAGGAGGGTTTGGATGTGGAAAATGGTGGGATGTAATGTAATTAAATTAAGGAAATAGGTTTAGTCGACCAATTGTTAGGTAAGAGAGCATCTTAAACGTGTTAGGTCTTACCGTCTTAGACTATGTTATTATATGTTTCGTGTCGTGTCTTGTCTGATTGTCCTTTTGCTGTCTCCATGCCTAATTACATTTTTTTGTTGTAACTATGAAATCTTACTGAAATACTCCTGAAATTTAATTTATTGAAAAAAGAATTGACCACTCTAAATATGACCTTGTACCATCATTTATTGGTTAAAACTTTTCTGATGAAAATGATGAATGTTAAAAATAGAGCATGATTTTGCAGGTTACCAAAATAATGTGAGCAAACACGTCTAAAGCAAATTACTAATTTAGTTTGCACTTTGCAGTGATTGTGCATAGTGCTTTTTATGATCAGGATTGTGCATAGTGCTTTTTATGATCAGTATCAAATGCATACAAGATGCAGCTGCAATCTTACTCATTTTGTTTTTTAATAACTAGAAGATTTTGGACCGAAATTCGTATATTTTGTAAATCTGGAACCAA